TCAGAAATCATCAGGACGCTCGGATCAGAGGCGTAAAAAGTCTCATGACAACAACAATATGCTGTTGCTGCTACATCAGAAAGATGCTGATAATTTTGGTATACAAACCAATTCGAATTGTTGCGGTGTGTAACTCGATTCGATCGATCCATTTCACTTTTAAATGTCTTTATTGCGTTTAATGTTTCTTAAGTAATGGAAGGACATTATCATTTTCAGTAGCTCAACTCCCTCGATTATCTAAAGTAATAATAATTATAATTTATGAGATTTATAGATGACCTTTTGAATTCGTTTTTTCCTTACTTACTTACTTACTTACTTACTTACTTACTTACTTACTTACTTACTTTCTTTCTTGTCAACAATACCTTTCGGTCTATTAAACTTTACAAAATGAGAAAAAGTAAAAGATAAGATTTTGGTTGCTAATCAGCTTCCAAAGACCAAGAAATTTCAAGCATTTTCAAATATAAAATATTTTTAAACCTATTATTTATCGAACAATTTACAATAAAAAAAATGTCATCAAATTAATTAAATGAATCATAATAATTGCTTTATAATAATAGTTAATTTAATTGCAAATTTTTTTAAATTTTTTGTTTCATTAAAGTTGCTAATTTTACATAGTTATTTTAATACAAATACAAATTAGATAATAATATTTTTAAAATCTTTGCTCTCTAATAAATAATCGTAAGAATATAAATAAGTTATAAATATGAATTTAATTCTTATACATTTGTCTCTTTAACAGATAATTCAGCATCAAAGAAAACTTCAAATTGTCCCGCTAACAACTGTGAAAAATTTAAAAAGTCCAATTATACTTGTTAAAACAGAAATCAATTTCTTTGTTATAATCATATTCAGTAATTATATGTATAAATTATTCGGGGAGTTTGAGCAACTTATTATTAATTTATTGATTTAAACAATAAAGACTTTCAAAGTAAATCTCGGTTTAGGAAATTGAATAAATACACAATTCTTTCAAAAGATCATAAAATTGTATATAATATCTGAAAAATATTTTTAACATTAAAATTTTACACTCTTAGATAATTCAAAGGAATTAATCAAAATAAATACTGCATTTTATTGTATATTATTTATAAAAATAAAAGGTGCCTATGTATTACATCGTAATATAATTTGATTATTTTTTTCTTTTTCCGATATAAAAGGTTAAGTGTTAAGCGTGGAAACGGAAAAAAAATACTCGAAAATCTTTGTGCCATTGTAATCTTTATGATAAATTGCATTATTTACTTAGGGCTTATTTCAAATGGTAATTAGCAACAAACTTAATAATATTAAGTAAATACAGTATCGACTAAATATAATCGAACATATGATGATTTATTCCTTATTTACAATCGTTTGTAGACAATTGTAACGATTATCAATAAGCGCCTTTAAAAATCAATACAATTACAATAATTTTGTTAATAAAAATTTTAATTAATAATTATGTGAACCTTATCGAAATGAAAAATTGTATATAAAAAATTATTTATTTTCTTAATGTCTAAATTTTATCTTAAACAGCAATTTCGTATACAAATCGAAATTATATTATTTGTATTACACTGTTCAAATAGATAATTTATATAATCATTACAATAAATAATTACCATATTAAAATTGGTTTATGCATTTGTTTCTAAATCAACAAATTTATTTATTCAAAATTAATCAAAATTTCCATTATAAATAAATTTGTTATCAGGTATTATCAAGAATTTTTTTTTACTAAAAAATAATAAGTTAATACACTCGCGTGTATCAAACAAAAATCTTAATAATTATAAAGCTTATTTCATTAAATAAAAAAAATACTTTCTTCTCTCATTTATTGGACCGTTCATCTTACACATATACATATGTATATATGCGTGTGTACAATTACAATTAGCAAGGCACAGTAAGTGGCTGAATTACTGTGCGTTTCGCTGTAATCGCGTAAATGCACATGGAGTGACTATTTGCTTCTTTTTTTTCTTTCCTAATTTTTCTTCTTTTTTTTTTTCATTGTTTCTAACGCTCCTTTATTCATATTGGCAGATCAAATGTTATACTACAAATATGAAATAAATATTAAAGCAAAATATTTTGTAAAAGTATTAATGCCATATTGTGATACTTTTCACATATATTTTACTATTACTTTAGCCAAATATGCTTCATTTAACAATACAAGAACCTTCAACCATATATCTTGTATGGTTTTATAAATTATTATATATTTTTATTACTTGTAATACATTTTCTATAACCAATTAACAGTATAAAGATTCTAGTATTTTTTTTTTTTTTTGTTTTTTTTAACAAAAATTTTGTCTTTTTAATTATTTTTTAATTTTTTTTTGTAAAAATAAAACGAACTATCTGCTCTATACATTAAATAAAACATGTATCCATTTTTCCCTATTATTAATTAAATTCATTTTTAATATAATAAACATTTGAATGAATTACATTGTAATTAAATTAACACTTTGAATATTAAATTTACATTAAATATATTAATTGCATGAATGTTGTATATGAAAGTTTGCATTAAGTGTTTGCATTAATAATGTAAATTACTTTCAAGTTCAGAATGTAATGTAAAAGTGCTTATGGATTTGTATATTAAATAATATTAATAATGTTTAAATTTAGAAATTACAGAGAAAATGAATTGTCTATGTCTTTCGGATATAATTAATAATTGAAAGATTATCGTTATTGTTACGTGATTTCTGTGAATATTAATCATAAATATGATTAATCGATAAACTAAGCAGCTACGAACTTGATACAAGAAAGTAGTTCATCATTTTCTGCAATTTCCTTGAAAGTATCGAGGAATGTAATTAATGGTATCATTATTATTGCTCATGGATTTTAAAAATTTATAAATATAACAATGAAAAAAATCGGAGACATGAATATATTGTTAATGATATTTGTCTAAAAACGTACAATAATAATAAAATTATGCATAAAATAATAAGCAATAAAATATAAAATTTTTTTTTTTTTTTTCATAAAGTCATATAAACACATGAAATATATAAATAAATAAGGCAATTGCTATTATGTATTATTGAAGAAGTATTTGTAATTTATAAATAGATAGACACAGTTCAATAATATATTAATTATAATTTATTATTGACTTATATTTATCTATTTGTAATTCAAAAATAAGTTTTAAGGAATAAAAATTCTACACTCATTGGATTAGTTACGTATACGTGAGAGTGTATAGGTGATTACTGCATTGAATGGCGCTACGGACAAGAATTATATAGATTTATATGGTCATGCGCATTTACATTAAATATATTACGTATATATTTTCAGTAATTCATATATAAATTTAATAATTTTTAATTTTATTTTCCATTTAATTTTGGACGCTCTCCTTTTTCTATGTACTTTTCTATGTACTATTCTATGTACTTTTCTATGTACTTTTCTGTGTACTTTTATATATATATATATATATATATATATATATATATAATACTCGTACGTCTACTCATATTCACATAATTAATCATTTACTTTTTGTTTTCTTTTAATACGCTTAATGCTAAGTATTATTTTAATTTTCTTGATTTTGAAAAAATAACAGATGTTCTTAATACAAGAATTAGTTTAAATAAAATTGAAAAATTTGATCGACACGAATTTTTTGGTCAACACTTGTTGATTCATATTTTTTACGAGGAACATGGCTGTTGTGCCTCGAAAAATAATTTCTTCTACAATATTATAATCGTGTATAATCTTTTCTTTCTCCTTAGTCTTATAAAAATATTGTTCATTACGCAATCTTGCCATCTGGCACTTATATTTTGTGATACAATTAATTTGTCACATTACAGTGTAATTTTCAATTTACATTGAAGCAATAATTATCGACCTGAATCTTAATTTAAATTTTGCAAAGTCGCAGAATATCGTTAATTTAAAGCAAATTAACATTAAATATATATATATATATATATATATATATATGCAATTGATACTTTAATAATGATATCAGTATTTTTATAAACAAATTTGAAATTCGTAATTCGAAGTAGGAATTAATTCATAAAAAAATTATCATGACAATTTTATTATTGATTTTCTTTACCACTATTTAACGAATGCATTTAGAATATTCATGCCGTGCAATTATTGTGCATGAACGAATTTGCAATTGGAATAAATTTTCAAATAATATTTCCTTCCTTCAACTGAATTAAATAAGTAACTTGCCGATGTTAAGTTTATACTAACGTTCTCGTAACAAATAAGTATAAGCTTATTATAGATAATTTTAATTATTAAGTACCATGGAAAGAAATATATACTTAAGAGTTTCAAAAAATATACAAAAAAAAAAAAAAAAAAAAAAAAAGCTTTAAGGAAAGAAATATCAACGATTCTTACAAATAAGAAAACTGCATATTCCGACAGACTCAAAAAATATTCTGCAGTATTGTCTAAAGTCGATTAGCAGCAGCCAAGGGACGATTTGTTTTTTTATTTTTTAAGGCATCTTCATCCAATATTCCCTTCTCCTTATTCCCTCCACATCGAATATCCACGACGCTTGTTCTTTCATTTTTCCGGCATCCATTTGTTATTTCCTTGTTCCACTATCTGCCTCGCTATCTTACTTCGCTCGGACAAGATTGAGGAATTCCTCACGGGTCTTGGGGTCGTCGCGAAAAACGCCAAGCATAGTTGAAGTGATAGTCTTACTGTTGATTTTCTGAACTCCACGCATCACCATGCACATATGCCTATAAACAAATTCCTCGTTATTCCTCAATGTTTCATTATTTTAGCATTGCATTGTTAGCTTCTTATGAAAAATATAGTGAAATTTTTTGTTCAATTACTATTGTTTTCATCTTCTTACGAAATATATGTTTGATCTCTAGACTGAATTATCCATAATTTTTACACGATTGTTATAATGAGTGGATGGTAATTAAATTTCAAATGTTAATTTAAATGAATGGTTTTTGTTTTTATGAAAATTCATCACGTGATATTATTGCTATAATGGTAGATATAATATTCGATTACCACATGTTGTACTTTCGATATATTTAATTACACTTTTTAATATACAACAAAACCTAAAACTTACAAAATATTATATACATTTTAAATCAAAGCTTATTGATTTTATTTTAATTAATATGTTTACGTTAAAAGCGTAAACAAATACATCTTCAAATAAAGTGTAATTGTCAACAATTAATCAGTTTCTGCGTATAATAAACGTATGACTACCAGAGATTTGCCCTTCTCTGACAAACAGGGCTTATCTGCAGTCTTGAGACACTGAAAATTGACTGAAAACTGACACGACCATTAATTTTATTGTCAAACGTTTTGAAAAAAATTACAATTTAAGACTGTTAAAATTAAGCACTATTCAACCTAGGCATTGTAAATTCATTGTTACTAATGAACGGTAAAGTCTTTGTTGTGTTCTGGTATCGGAAAAATTGATACAAAATGCAAGTATTCGCGTTGACGTCGTAACGAATGCAAAATCGCACTCTCACTTAGTAGCTCAAGGCCTCCTCCACCTCCTCCGCCTCATCCTACTACCACTACTGCTGTCACTACTACTATTGCTACTACTACTACTACTACTACTATTATTGTTGATACTATTGGTACTGTTACTGCTACTACTACTAACTACT